TTTACAAATCTCAGTTTTTTTTTACTTCTTGTAATCCAAACGCACCCTAACCACCCCCCCCCCAAAAAAAAGCTTCCGGAAACCGAAACAACTTTTCAGATTTTAAGAAAGTAGTTAATCTTCTACTTGTCCAATAAAGACGTCAGACATTAGTATCACTTACTGTGTGGAACCATATTCATCAACATTTTTTGGCGAATAGTTGAGCAATCAAAACTACTACAACCCCTTTATTCTTATGTTATTATTCTTTTATTTGCAATTTCATAAACATTAATTTGTAACGTACGAGTTGAACAGGAGGTGAGTGCATGCCCATGAGAGTCCAACATTCACACGGTTGCATTGGCTTAGTGGTAGTACTATATATATTGTCCCCAATTGCATTAAATTTTGTGTGTGTGTTTCAAACTTTCACATTTGCCCTTATATAGTAAGTCACCACAATGACATCATCACAATGACATGTATAATTCATGCTTTTCAATGGATTAATAAGGGCGTCCTAATTGCGCATGGCTTTGGAATCTGTATATATATAGACCACAAAAAGGAAAGCCATACACCAAGACAGCAACGGATTTAGAGCTGCGTGCATATCAACTCTCAAAATATTCATCCAATCAAATGGTATGGCTTTATATATATATATATATGTAATGACTCTAAATTTTAAATTAAATAAATTTCCTTTCAATTGATAATTAATTAATTTTACTTTTATGATAAAGAAAGGCAATGGTATATTAGAATTTATACTGGATATTTATATAAAGGTCTAGAGTTCAAATTTTACTTTAGCCAAATGTTAGTTTATTTTTATGAAAAAAGTACTAAAGAGTCCTTACTTTTTTTTATAGAAATATTTATAATAACAAAAATTGATAGGGTCTTCTTTTGAAATTTTTCTCAATAAACTTCGGGTCTTGTTTTGTAGATTTTCCCATAAGATATTATTTGACTTCCTTTGACCTTCTAAATTAGTGAAGTAGGCAGAAGAGAGAGGGAGAGCTCGCGATTTTTTTCTATTTTCCTCGCCTCTTCCGGATGATGTTCGAGGATGAGAGGAGTCTAGAAAACTCTCCACATTTCTTTCATCTTCTCCTTCTCCCCTACCATCTCTAACTACTTGAGGTGAGAGAGAGAGAGAGAGAGAGAGTTCCGACCATCGTGCATGGGCTTCGAGTACCGTCTCTCCTCCTTCTCTTTCTTCAATCAAGTTCTGAGTTGCAAAGAGGGCCGAGATCGAAACTCTAGACTTTTCATCACGTGTTATCTGACTCCATTTCTCTCTGCTATCCTACCCTCACCACCGGCGAAATGGGAGCTCGTCACTCCCAAACAAAGCCAGGTCCTCAGTCGTGCTTCCTGTCTCTGTTTTTCTCATTTTGTTGCTATCTTCGTCGCCTTTGTTCGCGTCACTAATGGGTGAGAGAAATCAAGCCGCTAGTAATGCTGGTGCTAATCGCGAGATTTTCCTGCTTGACCTGGTATGGCTGAAGTCGTTTCATTCCTTCCCTGTGTATCGTGCCAGATGACTCCCCTGTTTCAAGTCGTAGCTGGTTCAGTTTCGTAAGGTGTTCAGCTTGTGTGTTTATTATTTTCGTTGCTGGAATCTTTATTTCTTTGCACCTAGTAGGAGCTTGGCAAAGTTGCAGACTCCTTTTATTTCCTGTAAAGCGTCACTGTTGAATGTTTGATTCCCCTGTTCAGCGTCCAAGTTTCCTCTTCTTCTCTTTTGTGATGATGGTAATTTAAGGTAAGAAGCTTTGACCATTAACTCTCTCGTGTTGTGCGTATATGGCTGGATCAGAATTGTGAATTGTTCCTCATTTTTCTGCTGTGCATGAGTAATGAGATGTTGGGGATTTGATTTCTTTGAGTAATAAATTTGATTTTTGTTGGACTAAAAAAATTGAAAGGCAAGTTGAGTTATCTCAAATATGAATGTGATATTATTTAGGAAATGAAATTTATAGAAAAGGAAGTGGGATTTTGGTTGGAGGATTCACGCATGACAGATATTTGATAAAATGTCTATTAGTAGAGATTGTTTGTTTTAGCATCTAATAGTGATAGTTTTTTAAGGAAGATGATTTGGCCTAGATATTAGTATTTGTATATCTCAATTAGACTTTAACAAGGGATGTATTTAAGAAGCTGTCAAAATTTATTTGAAGTTTTAAATTATTAAGAGTTAAATGGTTGATGATTTATAAGGTATATTATCATTTTATTAATTCTAGTTGAGTGGACTCTCTTAAAAATAGGACTTGTTAATTCAAAAGCAAGGTTCATGAAGATTTTATTATATTATAGGGTAATCGTAAGCCGGGTAGCTTGATTGGAGCTAAAAGAAAAGAGTTTTGAGGTTGAAAGTGTTACAGGTAAGTGGATAGCGTCCCAACTGATTTTTTTAATCAAAATTTCATTTACTAAAATATTATATTTTTTTTGGAAATTATTTTTTATAGCATTAATGTGATTATTGAATATTTGTTGATTAACATTACTTTATTTTGAGAAATTAGCTTTACCAAATTTGAAATGTTATTTGATCAATTAAATCAAGTTTAAACTTTGATTGTGAGATTTTTATTCTATCAAATATTGGATAAATACAGAGAATGATTCATGCGAGTTTGAAGTTGACATTTTTTTATCCAATAAATGCAAGCATGAGCATTGGATATGAAATTTGATTCTAGCAAGTTCTAAAGCTTAAAAGTATTCATGCGAGTTTGATTTTAAGAGTGAGAACTGTATCTTGAAAGTGATAATTTTCTCGCATGTTTGAAAATGGTTTTAAAAAGGGACTTTATATAGAACACTGGTTGCTAACGGCAGTTCTGTTAGCCCTTAAAGTGCCATGGTACACCTAGCTAGTAGGGTGTTTATAGGAGGTGTTAGCCTCGTGCGATGGCCAACGCACGTGGAATGGAGGGATGGTTATTCGTGAGCTTTGTACCCGTGTTTGATTTTGTGGCTTCAAGCTGTGTTTGGTTAGCATGACCCTCGTGGACTGTGTGTCCACGTTTGTTTCGTGGCTTCGGTTGCGTTTGGTTACATATCCTCGTAGACTGTGTGTGCACGTTTGTTTTCATGGCATAAGCTGCGTTGGTTAGTTACCCTCGTGGACTATGTGTCCACGTTTGTAAATTGTTCTGATAAGTCCCTATAATTATGAATCCAATTATTTGAGTATTTTATATTCCATTGATGTTATTCATTAATATGTTTATAAATATTTCTTTCATTTATGTGCTTTCTTGGAATTAAGTCCTATTAACATTTGCCATGATAGTTCAATGATTTGGGACTAAATTTTAAAATTTTATAGAGCTATTCTATTTTAAAGTTTATTACATTTTTATGAAAGATGTTGTCTCTTTGACTCACACAATTATTTTAAACTTTCCTTTTTATTCAAGCTCTATTATTTATTGTTGGAACGTTATTTATTGAAAATTATTATTTTGGTCTCAGATACGTCAGCTCAGGCTATGCCTTCCGTAAATCCTTATGGGGCTGTAATATTTAGTTGAAAGGAAAAGCTGAAATCAAACTTCTTTAAAGTAAATTTCTTATGTCAGGTGCTTCACATAAGTTATAGTTAGAGTCCTCATCCTTATGATTCACACTTTGTTATTTACTGATTGGAAAAGAGTTCCTTGCTACTACTATTGTTTTGTAAAATATTTGTAGATTTTTTTTGGGAGATTTATTTTAAGGGGAGATTCAATCAAATTTTTTTTTTTGATATTAAACCGTTTGTTCGTATGGTTTGTATTGAGAATGGCTTAATTTATTATCAAATATTTTTGTGGTTTATAAATTAGAGATTTCATGCATAAAGACTATTGGGATATGGGTGTTATCCCTATATTCTGTGCCGAACATGTCCTATTTTTGGAGTGTGACAATATATCTGTCAGGTTTTATCTTTTTCCTTATCTGATAATTACATTCTCATGGATTCACGTGTTGATTGGTTTTCGCTTACTTAGGCGTCTATGAGGGGAATCGTTTCATTGGGACCGTGGGGACGTCCAGGTGGCAGCCATTGGAGTTTCGAGACTGATCGTGGGATAGCTGGAATAACCGTGAGTGTAGAAGAAATTTTCAAGTCCATTTCATTCAAAGATGCTAATGGTGATGATTCCGGGACATTTGGCGAAGTCGGTGAAGAAATAATATAGGTGACATCGGTTACTAATATATTAAAAATCATCACTGCTTTTAATAATAATAATAATAATAATAATAATAATCATCATCATCATCATCATCATTATTGTTGTTGTTGTTTTACTTAATTACCTTGTCCATGTGCAGATTGAATTTAGTTGGCCTTTAGAGCTTTTGAAATCCATAAGCGGAACTTATGGAATTTACGAGGGCTCAATAGTAATCACGTCCCTCTCATTTACTACAAATCTCAACAGTCATGGACCTTTTGGAAATTCTATCGGCGATTATTTCTGTGTTTCAATATCAGAATATAAAATTGTCGGGTTCCACGGGAGATGTGGTCGCTATATATATGCAATTGGTGTTTTTGTGCAACGAGTAAGTAATTTATTTAACTATTAACCATGCATTAGATTTTATTATTCTCAAAATAAAGTAGTGAAGTCTTTTAGTGATGGCTTGGAAATATTGAGCCTTGTAATCTCTCCCACATGTATAAGGGAACCATACAGTAAAAATTCTTGGAGCATTCTAAGGGTTGAACCCAAGAGAAAGCAGTTAACTTTGTATTGAAAATTCTTCTTTATCTTATAATTAAGTGATAAGAGGAAAATATATATAAACTAGTTAAACAATTATAAAATATTAATAATATAATCAAATATAATCCAAAATATATACCTATTTATCTCTAAAATATGCCCTATAACCGTCTAAATTTTGATGATGGATTTTAATAGAAAAGATAGATGCTTTATGATTCTCATTATAGATGGTTCACTTTGAAAATACAAGTATCATCCCACTACATGGGGTACTTTGCTACATGGATTAATGTATTACCACGTTATCAACAAACAAACCTTACATTGAAAATTAAAAAAAAAATGAAAAACACTTTACCAAAACTTATTAGCAGCACACTCAATGACTATTGGTGTTAGTGCAGGATTCAAGTATTACATGTGGGCCTTGGGGAGGTTCTGGGGGAGCTCCTTTTATTTTTAAAGTGGAAAAATGGATAAAAGAGATAATCGTGCATGAAGAAGGCTGTATCAATTCCATCGCTTTTAAAGATACAAGTGGTGAAATGTATGGAAAGTTTGGTGGTGAGGATCCACATGACTCTGGTATGGAAAGAATAGTAAGTCTAGTATTTGTTTACGGGTTGAAAAAAATAACAAATCATATCAATCATTTCTTTAATTTCTCCCTCTTATATTTGGCCCAGCAAATTCTTTTCCATATTTGTATAATGAAATTGGCAAATGTGTAGATTGAGATCAATGGGCCTTCCGAGTATCTGACATCCATAGCTGGGACTTTCAGATGTTATAAGGACAATAAGGTGATTACATCACGATCTTTCATAACAAACTTGCACACTCACGGACCTTTTGGAACTGTTAGCAGCACTTCTTTCTCATCCATGCCAACAGAAGGAGGTGTCGTGATTGGATTCCATGAAAGAGGTGGCTATTTTGTTGATGCAATTGGAACCCATGTGAAACTTTTACGTTAATCTAATTTCTAATAAACAGAGAGTGGTTGTTGTGCTTGAATAATTCTCCGTGCATTTTCTGCTATAATGTGTGGATGTGCAAGTGTGCTAAGTTGTCCTCTTGTGTTGTTTGATTACGAGGGCTTTTGTAGCTCTCTTGCTTTGTTTCTATTTCCTTATGGTTGTATTATGTATCCGTGTCATGACTTTGTGGGTTAAATTGTGCTAGCCACTTGGTGCAATATTATAAAAAGCTTTCCGTATGCACTTCAATGCAATGGTATAGCTTGTTATCTTATTTACGCAGATTGAATTTGTCACCCCCTAGTCCTCAATATGATGTGTGGTAGTTAGATCTTATATATTTAATAATCAAGTTTTAGCAAAAATTCTATTTAATCAAATGTTTAAGAAGATAATTGGGGAATAATGATAGTTTTGTTATGAAAAATAGAGATCGAGAGGAGAAGAGAGAAACCTAAAAGGAGGGAATGAGAGAATTGAAAGCTTTTTTGTCTTGATGTGTATACTACAACTAAAGTGCTCTCTTTCTATAGGCATGGATATAACAATTAAATCAAATAAAAATGCACAAGATAATAATAACTTAAAGGTATTATAAAAATTGAAAGATGTTAGAGAATCCAAAAGATATGGATATCCATATGATATTCTAATATCTAACACTCTTTCTTGGATGTCCAGATGTTGTGTTTTGTTAAAACTTTAATTACTATCACGCATAAAAATAGAGGGTGACCGGTAAGAGGTGTGAGTCATATTACACATATCTTAAACCTCAAATCAAGAAATTTTTTTTCATTTCTAAAGGATATCTAGATTTATATTGAAATTTTATACCCTTGATAATATTCATTATAAAATAATATGTAATAACTTAAAAAAATTAGTGTAAAATAAATTTATATTAAAGTATTGTGATTTATTTTATTAATTTTGGTACAAATATTATGAGTAATAGAGAAAACGGTTCTCTAGTGATGTGTGCACCCGTAAATTTCTATCATATCTCCTTTAGTCTGAATCATCTTGGTCCAAGGAAAGAGATTTTTATTTTGCTTCAGCTTTGGTTAAAATTACTGTAATGCCCTTTTAAAAAATTTTAATTAATAAATAAATTAAAAAATATAACAATTGATTCTTTTGTCTTCTCCTCATCTCCATTTTCTCGACTACTCCAAAATGGGGAGGGAGAGAAATTTGCTCTCCATTCTTCGTACACCCTCCACCTTCCTTTCCGTTCTGTCGCCGATGATTGTGAGTGCCGGAGTCTTCCTCTTCATCCTCCTTTGTGACTGACTTTGGTGACCTCCTTACTTTCTTGAGATGGCTCATGTCTGAACTGGGGAAGAGTAAGAGAAAATCTGTCGCCCTCTTCCTCCTCTTCATAGCTTACCGCTGCCGTAGGTAAATACGAGAGCTCTGTCCATTACTTGAATCCATGCTCTAGGTTCTTCAATGTTTTACTATGGAAGTTAGTTCGTTGTTGTAAGAGGTTCAGAATGAGGCTGTCTCTCTTCCCCTGCACCACTACCGTTCTTCTTTTGCCTTTATCATTGGGTCTCTTATTCCTCATCTTGACTTGCTTCAACCTTACTGTTCTGCATGTTTGAATATGGAGAGAGAAGTTCAAGCAAGTTGACATATTAGTCTTTTGAGGACGATGAAGAAGAATTTAAGGACAAAGCATTATTCCTAGAAGATTTGTTTGGAAGTAAGTTATACAGTTGGGAGCTTCACAAGTAACTGAATAGCGTCCCAACTAACTTTTTAATAAAGATTTCCTTTACTACAATACTACATTTGTTTGCAAAATTGTTTTAGTAACAACGATGTGGTTATTGAATAGTTTGTTTATTAAACTTCTTTATTTTGTGAAATTACCTTTATCGGTTTTGAAATTTTAATTATTAATAAATATAAGTTTGGACTTTGAATATGAGATTTTATTCTATCGAATATTGGATTGATATAGAGAATGATTCATACGAGTTTGACTTTGAAAATGAAAATTTTATTGTGAAAGTGATGATTTTCTCACATCACTACTACAGAAAGGTGTATAATTGACACCCTATAATTGACATTTATTTGAAAAAAATGACAAATAAAAAAGGCAGAGAATACTTAACGGTTTTTACGAAACAAGTGTCAAATATTTAAGTAAATACTTGACGGTTATTTAAAGATAACTATCAAGTATATATATTTGACGTTTTTTATAAATAACTGTTATATAAAGCTAAAATTTACACGTCAGTCTTTAATAAACAAACGTCAAATTAATAGTAGAAAAAAAATTAAATTTTTTCACACACTTGACGCTTGTTTTGAAATAACAGTCAAGTTTGTCTGCCATATACTTGACGGTTGTTTTAAAACAAGCATCAAATATGTAATACTTGACAGTTATTATGAAATAACTGTCAAGTATTATCATTTAAATTTCCTCCAGATTTCTTTTTCACTCTCCATTTCTACAAATCCTTCGTCTTCATAAATAAACCCAAAGCCACTGAAACTCATTTTTCGTCACTCTAACTGCCAAAAAACACATTTTTGGTCTCGATTCTTGAGGGGTTTTTGATTCTTGGCCTCCATAAGTCTCGTGGGCACTCGTTCGTTTGGATTCTCAGTCTCTATCACTCTGCAACAGACTCTCGTCTTTGTTTTTCTACACAGTCGATGTTCCCTCATCTTGTTGAGGTAGGTTCTTGCTTTCCCAATCATTAATCTTCATTTTGAATGTATGGGTTGTTGATTTTGATTTTCATACGTAATAAATAATTTCTGTGTTATTTATTTTGATCTGCATTGTTGTTCTTCTTAGTGAGTGTTTGAAGTTTTGAGTTTTTGGGTGCTTAATTATTGAATTAAGGGATCATCCAATTATTTTGTTGATATGAGGAGATTCATTAAGGATATGAAAATAGTATACCACCTAATTACCTTGTTTTTAATATTTTTGATATTTTAAATTGATATTTATATAGTGTTTGATGTGGTTTAATATGATTTTAATTAAAATTGAGTTTCTTATTAATGTTGTTATTATTGTTATTGGATCATATATAGTCTTATTATGGATAACTTGATTTTTTTTAAAGGCATAAAGACCTGGTAATACTCATTTTAAGTCGTTATATATACTAACAATTTTTTTTAAATTATTCTTGAATATAACTTTATGTGTTTGTTGTTGTGGATGCTGTTGTTGTTGTCATTTAGATTAATAGGAAGAGGCGATAAGGCCTGGGAAACTCTCTTTTTTAAGTTGTTATGCCGACAAAATTATTTTAATGGCTAGCATTAAAATATAATTATTAGTTTTAAACAAGATTAAAGAGGGAATGTGCAAACATGTGGTTAGTGACTTATTGACTAATTGATCTTTATATATAATTCTCCCACTATCTAGGAGTAGTCAAAGTCACTAATCATATTTCCCTCTTAATCTTTGTAGGAATTATGGATAAGGAATGGATGTCTGTCAATCGTCTATCCAAGGAATACTGGGATGGGGTGGTAAATTTTTTTAAGCTTGCAGTTAAGCATGCGGAGGATCCTACTAGGATTGTTTGCCCATGTTTAAAGTGTGGTCTTGTGAAGCGGGTTAGCCCAGATACTTATGAAGAACACCTAGTGATTAATGGGATAGATCAAAGTTACAAGTGTTGGACAATGCATGGAGAGACAAGAGATGATATTAGTTGCAGCCAAAAGCATAATGAAAGCTGTGCATCATCTCTTGATGATTGTGACACATGCACACTTGAGGAAGATTGTCTTGAACAGATGGCCAAAGCAGTTGAAGAGGACCTCAAGGATTATCCAGAAATGTTTGAGAAGTTGAAAAGTGATGTGGAGACACCGTTGTATGCTGGTTGTAGTGCATCAAAGTTATCAGTAGTGTTAAAATTATACAACATGAAGGCAAAACATGGATGGAGTGATGCAAGCTTTACTAAGTTGCTTGGGTATTTGAAAGTAGAATTACTTTCTAAGGAAAATGAGCTTCCTTATCAAACATATGATGCAAAACAAGTATTGCGATCAATTGGCATGAGTTATGAAAAGATACACTCGTGCCCTAATGATTGCCTTTTATTTTAGAATGAATATGCATCGTTAACCAAGTGTCCGAAGTGTAATGCCTCACGCTACAAACAGAATGGATCAAGTCCTGGGAAGGCACTATGGTATTTTCCAATCGTGCCTAGATTTAGATGCATGTATAGCAGTGTAGAAATTGCAAAAAACTTAACATGGCATGCGGATGAAAGGATAAAAGATGGCATGCTTTGTCATCCTGCTGATTCTCCATAATGGAGAAAGATTGATTATGAGTACCCTGAATTTAAGGAAGAGAGTAGGAATCTATGCCTTGCATTGTCTACCGACGGGATGAATTCTTATGGGATTCAAAGTAGTAGCCACAGCACTTGGCCCATCATTTTGGTGATTTATAACCTTCCTCCATGGCTTTGCATGAAGTGTAAGTATATGATGTTGTCCATGCTAATTGTAGGACCCAAGCAACCTGGGAATGACATAGACATATATTTGGCTCCTCTAATTGATGACTTGAAGATCATGTGGGAGTTAGGTATAGAGGTATATGATGGGTATAGAGAAGAAAAATTTAATTTAAGAGCTATGCTCTTCGGTACGATCAATGACTTTCCTGCTTATGGCAATCTATCAAGGTATAGCATTAAAGGGCAACTTGGATGCCCTATTTGTGAAGAGGGAACACATTCTATGAGGCTTCAACATGGGATGAAGAATGTTTACCTCGGCCACCGTAGGTTTTTACACCAAGAATATCATTATCGGCAGTTGAGAAAAGTGTTCAATGGAAATCCAGAAGAAGGTAAGACACCTTTGCCGTTAACTGGTGATGAGTTGTTTGAGAAGATTAAGTATTTAGATATTGAATTTGGCAAACCATTTGCAAGGCACCTTGGGACAACTGGATGGAAGAAGAGATCTATTTTCTTTGAACTCCCTTATTGGACCACCTTAGATGTTCGGCATTTTCTTGATGTCATGCATATTGAAAAAAATGTCTATGAGAGTCTTATTAGGACTTTACTCCAAGTGTCAGGAAAAACAAAAGATGGCATAAAAGCAAGGTTGGACATGG